CAAAGTTGTTCACAGCAGTCTTGGTATACGAAATATCGAAAGCAAAAGTCTGATCGCGCCGTCTCATCCTGAATTATTTATTGTCAGCATCCAATTCAGTACTGTGATCCAAATTTTGTTCCGAGAAACACAAATTAATTCACGGAGAGAGAAATTGAGACGGAAAGAATTTCTCCTTTGGGTTTTTGTGTTTGAAAAAAAGTGTTGACTTTCAGGTCAGCCCTTTCGAAGCTTTTGAGCTCTATCAGAGTCACCAGAAAAACTACATTTAGACCAATTTAATTTCACCTTAAAAATGATAACCGTATTTTCATTTGGTTTAAATATAGTCTTTCTGGTGACTCTGACAGAGGTCAAACGTTTCGAAAGGGCTGACTTGAAAAGTCAACTTATTTTTCAAAAGCAAAACGTTATCATCTCATTTTCTCTCTCCGTGAATTGATTCGTTTTTATCGGAAGAAATATTGAACCACCATACTGCACTGAATGATTTTTAAAGGCTCACTGGTAAAAAAAATAGTCATAAGTAGTCCAAAATCCCGTTTTTAAAAAAAATTGGCAACAAAACTTTGTATTTTTTTCATCTATTGTAATCATTGTTTTGTTTCGCGCTTTTGAAAATTAATGAGAAAAACTGGTTAAGTTAAAATTTGGAAAAAGCCGTTTCATCTGTTTCAGCTGCAATCTTTGCAATTTGCTTTTGTGAAGGTCAAGAAATGGCAAAATTTGGATGTGCTGGTCGAAATTCTGCATATCGTGTCGCGCTGTCTCTGCTTTGTTCGCGGAAGTCGACAACCATTGTTTCTTTTGCCAAAATCTGAACATGCCAAAAATTGGCCGAGACATGCCATAAAAGTCATAAATTTGGATTTGCCTCAAAAGTTTGGAAATAATCAGTGGATTTCGACTTGAGAGAGTCGAACAATATCCGGTTCAGCTAAAAAAAAAATGTCTGTACATGTCAATAACTGGACGAGAAATTCTGGGCATGCCATATCTTTGTCCTAAGAGTTTGAACATAATTCGTGGACTTCGACTTGAAACAGTCAAACTCTATCCGGGAAAATCAGGCAAAGTCTATTAAAGTCGAATTAAGTGGAACAATGTCGAACAAAGTAGAAAACTTTCCGATAAAAAAGAACGAAGTCGAACAATGATTGGTCAGATCACATAAAAGTCTATGAAGGTCCGCTGAAGTTGAACAAGGTCGAACAATATCCGGAAAAGACTAATATGGTTGAATGGAATGAAATTGACGAATGAAACCGGAAACGGACGTTTTTTGACTTTAAAATTAAAAATAGACATCGTTTTGTCAGGCTGTTTGGTTTGCATGCAGTGTTGGCATTGGTAGTATTTGTTCCGACTATTGAAATTGGGAGAAACTTTGTATTCGGGTGTGTTAATTTTTTCTTTTTTTCGTTTTCTAGACGCAAAATCAGGTATCACAAATGATATCGGAATAGGTCGAATAATAAATCATATTCCAGCCCTTTTAGTGATTATTCGAACGACATCAAGAAAAAATTTCAAAGTTTTTTCCCGATATCGAGAAACACTGTTTTGAACTTTTTAGATTCAGGGTGATTTTGAGCATGATAGGCAATCGAATAACATTCGTCATGAAAATCGATCAATTAGGCTGAAAAACTTAAATTGTATTAAGCAATTTAGTTTTGGAAGTTTCGAAGCTTCTTTTAGCGCTTCCTTGGCAATAATGATGGTTTTATAAGAAACAGTTGAAAAAAACTTTAGGGCAAAATAAGAAAAAAGAAAAGTTTTTTCTAAAAACATTTTTGGAGAGAATTGTTGTCGATTGTGCCTAGTTTTTTAAGCTCACACGCGTTTGTTTACTTTTTTATTCACACCACGTGCAAGAAACGATAGTATTTCACAGAAAAAATTTGTTTTTTTCTTGTGAATTTAAATGCAAAATTCAGTGAAACTTGCTCCTTGACTTAATATCCTTGTTTTTTTTTGTCCAGTTTCTTCTGAACTTTTATTCGAATTATTTTTTAAAGAAAAAATTTTTAAAACTATCAAATAAACAAAATTGAGAATGTTGAAACGTGGTTTTTCAAAAACTATGCCCAATGCGCCACAATATCAAGCGTAACTTTTTTGTTCTCTCAACTACCCTTTTGTTTTTAATTACGCGTTAACCAAAGACCTTTGGGCCAAAAATTTTTCTATCAAAACAGTTTACAAACAACGGTACAGATGTCAAGTTGTCAAAATGGAAATTCTTGTAAAGTGCGCATGGTTTCAAAATTTTATATTTCAGCCAAAGATAATTCAGTTAAAAAAAAAACAGAATTATGTATGAATTTAGTTCAGGCGCGCGTAAATTAAAATTTCTGCGTTTTTGATTTTGCGATGATCTCGGATCTCGAGCCAAAAAATCCTGCAGCTTCCAACATCAAAATTTGAAAACAGCAAAGAACATCACAGAAAAGTAGCAATGTTACGTTTTCTGCAACAAATCTGATTTTGGCCCGTTACGGAGTCCGCTTACAATTCACAAAATGCACAGTTTGGCATTTTTCGATTTTCACCTCAAAAACGTTCCTAAAAACCTTTAAAAAGTTTGGTCAATCCGGTTATTGGTGCTTTTTGATCAGTTTTGAAATAATCAAATTGATGCTCCTGACTTTGTTTAACTTCTTGCTTCTAGGATACAAGTTTGGTTGTCTTTTTGTTTCTGTTTGCCCATAGAAGTCGTTCGGCTGATCTAGGGCTTTTTTGTTAGGCAATTTCAATAAAAATTAGCGCGTCCAAAATTGATTACAGATAAAAAGTTTTTTTTTTAAATTAAAACTCAAGACGTCAATAATTTTCAGATGAATTAAAGTTTTTAGTTCAGAATTGGCTAGTTAAAACGCGAAAAACGGTCTGGAGAATAAAAAACCAAAAGAGCTCAAACACTCCGTCACTTTCTTCAAAAGTCGGAATAATAATTTTTTTCCACTTTTCTCGAAGTTTGGTCAATCCGGTTATTGGTGCTTTTTGATCAGTTTTGAAATAATCAAATTGATGCTCCTGACTTTGTTTAACTTCTTGCTTCTAGGATACAAGTTTGGTTGTCTTTTTGTTTCTGTGTGCCCATAGAAGTCGTTCGGCTGATCTAGGGCTTTTTTGTTAGCAATTTCAATAAAAATTAGCGCGTCCAAAATTGATTACAGATAAAAAAATTGTTTTTAAATTAAAACTCAAGACGTCAATAATTTTCAGACGAATTAAAGTTTTTAGTTCAAAATTGGCTAGTTAAAACGCGAAAAACGGTCTGGAGAATAACAAACCAAAAGAGCTCAAACACTCGGTCACTTTCTTCAAAAGTCGGAATAATAATTTTTTTCCACTTTTCTCGAAGGCAGATTTGAAGTTATTTCAAATTGGAGCGTTGACTGCAAATACTTAGATACCCAAATAATTTTTTTTTCAGAGTTTCAAAGCAAACGGAAAATTTATGCTTGGTGTGTTTTTTTTATTCAGTCAGTTTTTGGCCACCGACATAAAAAAATTTTGCCTGAAAAAAGTTAACTCCACTGAAAACATTGACTTCTTGAAATCACAAAACGTTTGATGTTTTACCACCTCCGATCATTTTTTGCAAAACTGTAGGAGTTAGAAAATTGCCGAAATGGCCATGCTCTGGACTAATTTATGCGCGTTTTGAAGATTTCTTTAAAAATGCTGAAAGCGTACTGCGAATCATTCATGCATGGCGAAATATGTGTGGTCTCAAGACAAAATCGTTTCAATTTGAATTAAGACTAGTTATTATGCGGTTTTGAAGTGTATGACTCGAATTTTTACGTTTTAATCTTACGACTTCATTTTCATTTGAAGTTTTTCATTTCATTTTTGATTTTCAAAATTTTTAGCTTTTGAAAAATTTTTTCCCATCGGATTATTCAGGGCTTTGCCGGTATTCAATTGTTGTCTTGTTGAAGCTCCACTGTTGTTTTATTTTCGATTAAAAAACCACATTTTTGGTGTCTTATTTTTGATTTTAACTAAAACTTTTGCGTTCCACATAAGTTTCATTAAGCACTTACCATCTGTGCGATTAACTATAAATTCGAATGAAAAGATTCAAAGCTAAAAAGTTATTTTAATTAAACAATAAGGATAAGCGCAGGCTCTTTTTTCCTTTCCCCCACCTCACATAAACATCCGTTTTAAGGTGTAACAAGGGTTTTACAATCTTAAGTCTGAAGACCAAATATGCTTGTCAGGGCCTGAATAAATCAGATGACGATTTCTGTAAAAACTGAACAATGTTAACAGGAACTTGCCAGTAGGGTAGAGAAAGAAAAAGAGCCCTAACAAAATAAAATTGTTCCGATCATTGAAAATGGGGACGAACTTTGTTTTCGGGCGTGTTTTTTTTTTGTTTTCCACGCAAAATCAGGCACCACAAATAATCATCGGACTGGGTGTAAGGGTATATCATATTAAAGCCCCTTTTTTAGTGATTTAAACCACATTAAAAATCCCCAAAATTTTTTTCTGGAGTTGAGAAAAACCGTTAAGCTTTGAAAATTTAGTTTCAGTTAAAAAAAATTAGTTTTTAGAGTTTTTAGCGCCCTATTGAGTATCAGAAAGATCAAAAATTTCCGAAAAAAAATGAAAAATATCAAAATATATTTTTTTGAAAATTAGGAAAAAATTTTAAAGCTAAAGGTTATTTGAAATCAACTTTTTTTTTCGTTTTGCTGGTAATGTTTTTACAAAAACGTTTTTTTTTTCAATATGCCTGTTTTACTATGACTGTAATATGTTTAAGTTTTAGTTTTGTTTTCAGAGCTTTTTATTACACCACGCAGAAAAAAAAACGACACCAATTTGAAAAAAAAACTGATCGTGGCTTCTATGGCTAGAAAGTATGCCTCGTATTAAGAATGATACATGATACATACATTTAAAAACGGTTTGATTGAGCTCTTGTGTTAAAATGGAAAAAAATAAAACACGTGCAAAAATAAATACTACTTTAAAATGTTGAGCACTATATCTCTGTAGCATACTGAAGCAAAAGACCATTCAAATTAAAACATCAAATTACTAAGACTCGTATACCTGCATTTTGCACGAGATAACATCGATTTAATTTCACAACTATAAATCCGAATCAATTTCTCTGATCTGTTTCTTATTCTTCTGTATTTTATTCTTTTCCGTTAAAAAATGGCTACTTTAGCCGGGCTACAAAGTGGAGCCTTACCCAAACACCATTTAATCAACATCTCCAAAAAACATAAAAACAACAACTTGTCTACGATTCCCCTTATTAACAGTTTAGTTACTGATGGCGACCTCGGATTTTCACCGGAAGCCACTTTTGACCCCGAAAAACTTCAAAACGCCGTTGATCTTTTGACCTCTCCAAATGCTCACCTACTGAAAAAACGCCACATGAACATTTTGTATAAAATAATTGCAATTTATGATTTTGGCTTCCCATTAGATAGTTTAGTTAGCGTTCTGACCATTTTAAACTCGTGCGCCGAGTTAGCTACTGATGATCAAGAGTACGAACCCGTAATGGTTTCAATTATTTCTCTTTTTCAGCATCCTTTTATCATGGCCCAATCATCTGATCAAATTTCATTCCGTGTAATTGTCACCGATACTTTTGCCCAGTTAGCTTTCCTTTTAAGAGTAGACAGCGTCGAGATTCGCTCGGCAATTCTCGAAACACTTCTTGTTTTATACACGAGACGCGAAGTGGCACAGCCAGCCAAGGAAACGAAACGAGTTTCCTTTGATTTTCTGATCCGAGCCATCGAAGATTCAGGTGTTGCCGAGACTGTAATGAAGGCTCTAGCTTTGGTCAACAATGATCAAACTTCCTTAAAAGGACTTTTTTTCAACTTCCTGCAATCTGCTTCTTTTTCTGAGCAAAACTGCAACTTTATGCTAAATTCGACAGCAGGTTATATTCTCTGCATGATTTTAGTTGATAACCTGAATGACTACAAACTAGTACAGCAAACTACAGAAATAGTTTGGAATTTGATAAGTTTTGGAGAAGAGCAAGAAGTTTTGAATCAGTTGTCAAATTTGCAGTGCTTGCAAGCACTCCACCAACTTTTCACTTCTGAACTCTGCCAAAGTCATAGTGAGTACCATCGCACGGTTAGAAATGACGTAATAGCAATTATTACTCTGATTGCAAGGGCAAACCCACAAGGTCCTTTGATAGAATCCGGAATAGTCAAAACTTGCCTCCAGATTTTGACTTGTGAAGAAACAAAATCAAGAAGCGCTTTGATGAAGCATATAAAGTTTCACAACAACGCTGAAGATTTTGAGTTTAAAAAACACTTAATTGCGCTGGTTTTGTGCTTTGTCCAAAATAAATCCAGTTTTAGCTTGTTCACGGAGACGAAACTTTTTCACGCCCTGTTTCATTACATGAAACCGATCGGTAAAATAGAAAGCAATTTTGACCTTTCGCGCCTCGAGGAGATACAACTTCAGTGTATTTCGACTATTTGCAGTTTGACAAACTACTTCCCCGAACTGACAATGCTCCCTCAGTCTGTGAAGAGCGCATTAGCTTTTCTCGACTGGTGCATAGACGATGTAAATGACCCTTACTTGAGCCAGGGTAATAGTTTCTTCTCATCTGGCGGTCGACATAGCAAAAGGTCACAACTACGTTACACAATGCGGTATTTAAAACTGATAGTCAAATCATCAGGCGAGGAAGCGATGTGTTGTCTGATAGAACACGAGTTAGTTCTTAAACTGACATTACTGGTCGACGACTTAATAAAAGAACTCGAAAATCCGACAGTCGACAAAAATCCGATCACAGATAAACGTGACGAAAAAGAAGCGCTATGTTTAGACATCATATGTGAAAGTTTGTACGTCTTGTCTACGTTCTGTGAGCAACTAAGTGATCACAAAGAGCTTCTTTCAAAAGATGCTACAGGACTGTTAGTTTACATTCTCAATATCGATTCTGAAAAAGTGTGTCGAGGCTTGGGCTACAACAAACTCCTGACCGCGACTTTGGAAGCTATTTTGTGCTGTGTAATTGGAAGCTCGTCCAATGAAAACAGTTTCTTAGAAAGTTCTGGAATTTTCGCGCTGCTTGACCTGCTGGAACACAGACCAAAGTACCTTCAAGCTATAATTCTGGGTTGTATTTTGGATCTCATGGAAAATTCGAACTCATTAGCTCATGTTCTAACCTGGGAGAATCCTGATCAAATAAAAGCTCCAAAGTTGATGATCAATTTATGGAAAGAAACCGAAAAAGATTTGAAAGTAAGCCGCGAAGAATCTGGAATAATCCAGGACAATCAAGACCCTCTAGGAACCCTTTCACTCCATGACGAAGACACTTCAACTCAAAAAATTTCAAGTACGACCAAAACAAAATCGATAGTCGAAGTTTCAGAGAATTTGCGTGCCAAAATATACTCTTTCTTCCTCAAAATTCCCCGAGATGATATAGACGGTCTGCTGCCATCAGATTGCGTTTGGCTGTCAATGATCGAAAAGTACCTGGATTTCAAATCTGCAGAAGTCTGGAGAGGTATGAAAAAAT